TTAGCTAATTTAGCTAATATGTAATCTCGCTAATTCAAGAATGCGGCTAATTTAACAATGAGATAGTCGACAATTTATCTAAAATAAGTTATGTTAATTCATGCCTTGAGTCAAATCCGCTAACATTGCATGCAGCTATTTAAACGTGTTCTACAGTATATAAATATGATTTAAGTGACACCGGTGCCTCCATATGTAGGTAGGTGCCTCCTCCTGGCAGAAGGATGTACCAGCAAGAAGCAGGTGACTTTTTTTGTTCTAGTAGGTGTTGGGTGCCATTTTCTGTTCAAGCAGATTGTGATGTACCTTCCTTTCTAGTAGGATATGGGTTCCTTTTACTGATCTAGTAGGAGGTAGACAGCCTTCTTCTGTCTCAGCATAAACGGGCGCCTTTATTTGTTTATTAGAAGATATGGTATCTTGTTCCGTTCTAGTATGAGATGATTTGCATGTACAGTTCTAGCAGGAAGTGGGTGCCTTTTATGTTCTCGTATTAAGAGGACGCCTTCTTCTGTTTCAGCAGGAAAAAGGTACCTTCTGTTCTAGCAGGAGATGGGATGCCTACCTTTCTATCATAGGGTTTGCGTCTTCTTACGATATAGCAGGAGGTAATGAGACTTATCACGGTCTAAAAAACGTTTTATGATTAATTTTATTATGATATTGTATGTTATATTGTTTCTGAAACAAAATAATAATGTTTTCTGTTGTAGATCGATGCCATTCTTACGAAAATGGCCAGTCAATCTTCTTTTGAAGGAACCGGAAATGTGTTTGTTTCATTATTACAAGTAAGTGTGTTGTATTTGGGCCTAGGTTTAGAGATGGCGCGATAGTATCTGAACGGTGGTAGTAATAGGCGTGGCAGCAGTGGCGGGGGTGGGTAAAATGGATCGAATAAATAATCAAATCTGTATTACAGCAAATTAATATCACATTTACATATATCATATTAATTAAACTGACAAATTATTCACTGTTTGTATTGTATAACAATATTGAACATATGTGTATTTCAGACGCAGTTCTGTGATATGTATGGACAGTAATAATTCGGACTGGTTGTACATTGTCAAATCAGTGAGTTGCCATGCACATTTTTTTAACGATTCTTGTGAGAATGTATGTGTGTAATGCATTCATTTATACATCTGTGTACTTTGTTTTGTACACATTGTTACCCCTTGAGTTACAGAGAAATTTAGTATCATTTCTGCGCAGGCCCAGTAATTTCCTATTAAAATTTGGATTTCTTCTACGTATTTCCCACATTCAACCTGTTGCAGTGTTACATACCCTAATTTCAACAAACGGTAAGTTTCAAAACAACACTAAGGAGACGACCCGCCTTCTCTGGCACAGTTATAACATTAAAAGTTGTGTTTGCATTTAGGGAATATGTCAAGTTATCAAGCAGTTGAAAGATGTCAAACCACTTTCATGGCGTCATCAAACTGCGGGAAAGTGCACGTTGGGTGACGACAGAAGGTATGCTAATAATGGAGCAAATACACGTGAGTATTTAACTTTTATTGTCACTGTATATATTAACTATTCCAAATAATTTCAAATTCTGCTGATTCGTTTAGCATAGGAGGTAACATTCATAAGGTTTTGAAGGTCTTTCAATCGGGGAACACGTCATTGTCGGCAACTGACATCCATATTTATTAAAATTATTTAAAGAAAAATCATTGTACTGACAATATCACTTCCATCATATTCTATACAGTTCCAAAAATAGATACTGGTAGACAGCGCTTTCAGCCACCTTCGTTATCCTTTGACATGATGTCAGACATTTTGAATGACCGTGTTTGGTCACGTATCAACCCCAGCTCGCCGCGACGAATGGCGGGTCATGAAGACGACCAATTAGAAATGCCGTTATTACAAACAGAGGACACAATGCTTTCTGAGTTGAGTGGAGTGTCTTCATTAAACTTTTCTGATACCACACCATCCATGACGTCACCAAGGTCATACGGCAAATCAAACCAGGTAGTTTATTCGTTGTCGACTTGAAGTATTTCTTTATGAATAGGCCTATAATATTGGGCTGTGAACTCAAAAAGATGAATAAAATGGTCTCAAATGACTTTATATGTTTCAGTGATTACTTTGAATTGTGTCATATATTAGTTATAGATAACAACAAATGTAATAACACTCTTACTGTAATGTTACACATGTATGTAATAACATCATCCTTAAATGTAGTAATGTATCCCATCATTATGACAGTTTAGTATTACAACCACTGAGTCAGTGTTTGCCCTTTAAAAGCTACGACACGGATATATCAGATAACGGGTAATAACATTCTTCACGTTTTTAAAAATACTTTTCATTTTTAAAACATGTCTGTTATGAAAATGTAACTGGATAATATATTGATGGTGGAACGACATTTGCAATTAATCCATTCTCAACTTAATGCATTTCAGAGAAAACTTGTTCGTGTTCATTTCTTATACAATTTGATCATGTGATCCTGTTTCAGGGAAGACACAACTTTGACAACAAAAAAACAGTATTCATACAGCTAGATACTATACATGCTGGAGAAGTATTTGTAAGTATCATTAGTCCTAGATCTACCATGTCACCTCAAGAGTCAACTGAGTCTTGGATCCACCAGCTGATCTGAAGAGTCAAATGTTTCTTGAATCAACCAGCTGATCTCAAGAGTCAACTGAGTCTTCGATCAACCAGCTGATCTCAAGAGTCAACCGAGTCTTGGATCCACCAGCGGATCTCAAGCGTCAACCGAGTCTTGGATCTACCAGCGGACCTTAATAGTCAACTGAGTCTCGGATTCACCAGCTGATCTCAAGAGTCAACTGAGTCGTGGATCCACCAGCTGATCTCAAGAGTCAACTGAGTCTTGGATCCACCAGCTGATCTCAATAGTCAACTGAGTCGTGGATCGACAGCTGATCTCAAT